CCCACAACTACCAACTAGACTTAAGTATGCCACCATATAAAGCACAGTGAAATTTACTTGAGGCTAGACAACCCAACTCACATCTAATGGTTCAACAATCAAGCAACAGTGGCCTGATCTGCTCAGCAGAGAAAGCATAAGAGCTGTTGCCGTTTTCAGCCGGCCTGCTGACTGGATTAAGTACACCAGGAGGGAGGGGGGGGGGGGGGGAAGACAGTGGGAAGGAGGCAGGCAGGACAAGAAGGGGGAAGGACTGCCGCCGACCAGAGAGAGAAGAAACAACAGGGCGGAGCAGAGGAGGATGGGTGAACTAGGGATATCTACAATGCTACACGAAGGGTCGAAGAAGGCAGGAAGAAGGGACAGACAGAGAAGGACGGCGAAAAAAAATGGGGAAGGAATAGAGGGCAAACAACGGAGGAATCAACGAGGAATGCATCGAGGGATGGAGGAAGAACGAAGGAAAGAGAGGAAACGGAGAAAGGATAGAGGAGAAGAGATGAGGAAATGAAGGCGTCAACACGGATCATGTTACGGACTTCGCCAGGGCTCGATCCCTGGTCTATCTTTTGCTGTTTCGGCTGCATCCCGTTTTCGGCCTGGCACCCTTTTTCCAAACCCCTCCTTTGGTACCGTACGATTTTGGACAACTGGCGCCATGCTGCAATTTGGGCGCCACTTTCAAATACTGCATTTTTCAGTTCTGCCCTCGGAGCCTTTGCAGAAATGCCACTGGTACCGTACGTGTCACCGGTACTTATACCGGCTCCCCGYAYGGTACGGGGACCAGTCTCGTACCAGTTCTCTGCTGCTGTACTCGTACTCAATGTGACTTGCTGTTTCGACATTTGGAATCCAAGACTTCGACTTGGTGCCTTGCCACTGTGTCTGCGTCCGATCCTCAGTCCGAGTCCGACGTGTCGAGTGAGTGAGTGTGTGTGTGTGCTCTCGCTCTCTCCCTCTCTCTCCTCTCCCTCGGCTCATCCTCAGCCTCACGCTCGTTACATGAGTGGCCGGGCTCTTGAGGGAGAGAGCGAGAGCACACACACACACTCACTCACTCGACACGTCGGACTTTGTGCCTTGCCACGGTGTCTGCGTCCGATCCTCAGTCCCAGTCAGTCGTGTCGAGTGAGTGAGTGTGTGTGTGTGCTCTCACTCTCTCCCTCTCTCTCCTCTCTCCCTCGGCTCACCCTCAGCCTCACGCTCGTTACAGATCAGGGGATTGAAAAAGGGAAAGTGGGGGGGGGAGGAAGACAGAGAGGCAGACGGGGGGGGAGAGACGGATCGGGCATTAAAAAGAGGAAGAGAGGGGAGGGGGGGGGGAGGGGGAGGGGAGAGTGCAGAGAGGCAGACGAGGGGGAGAGGAGGAAAGAAGATGGGAGGGAATGAAAACGGACTTCTAGAGGATGGAAAGTGTGGGAAAACGAGCGAGGCAGGGTAAGGAGAAAGGAGAGAGAGGAGCAACAGGTGGAGGGAAAGAAGTGACCGATAAGGGCGAGGAAAATGTGGAAGAGAATTTGTTTGGTCTTAAGATTGACGTCAACAAAAGGAGAGGGAAGGATCTCACTCACTTGCGAACATGGTGGACGACCAGCGGAGCGTTGCAAACAAACAAAAACCATCTTCCAGAAAGTAGAAAAATTGTGGTCAAAACTCCTTGCGCGATGTATTCAGGAAAAATGCACTTGTTGATCCTCGACGCCGAGTCATGCGGATTGATGAAATCATTCTCCAAATCGGAGAGACAGATAAACTACACACACACACACACACACACACACACACACACACACACAACCAACAATACAACCACCATCCACGTTCAATGAAAAAGAAATTCCTGTGCCATCACTGAAAAGCAGGTTCGTGGAGAAAAGGGAGCAAAAAACATAAAAGCATTCAGGTCCACGCGTACTTGCCATCACCTTCATTTGGTTCGTGCAAACAAATTCCTGCGTTGTCTCCCTCACAGTCGGTGTTTCATTACTCTTCTACGTCCTACTCCCCCCCCTCCTCTCTCTCTCTCTCTCTCTCTCTCTCTCTCTGTGACACACACACACACACAAAGACGAACGTGAAAAAGTGGCAGGCATGCCAAGAATTATTGTATTCTATTCCCCTTGGACGGTGTTTTTTTTCTCCCTCTCATTCTCGAAATCCGTTTTTTCATTGAGTTAGATCCGGCATGGGGGCGTTACAAGGGTTTAATAGGCAGGCATGGGTGAATAGGGCAGCGATTTGGGTGCGGGCGATTAGGATCCACGCCAGTCGAGAAAGTTTAAGGTGTTATTCATATAATAATTAG